TATTTTTATTAATTTCAGAGGGGAAGGGAGAGGAAGAGAAATATCAATGATGAGAGAGAGTTATTGATCAGCTGCCTTCTACACCTCTCCCTTTCCCCCCGCAACTGGGAATGGAGCCTGAAACTGGGGCTTGTGCTCTAACCGGGAATCGAACTGTGACCTCCTGGTTCACAGATCGAAGCTCAAACACTAGGCCATGCCAGCTGGGCACACTAATGTTTTTTTTAATGAATATCACCTGGGAACTGAAAAGGGCTCCCAGATCCCAATTCCTCTGTGTGTGTGTGTGTGTGTGTGTGTGTGTGTGTGTGTGTTTTCCCACATCACAGATTCTTGGACACCCCCAGAGTGTCTGAGGACTCATCTCAATTCTGACACAATCTACATGGGGATAGAATGTGACTACAGCTTTAATAAACGCTCCCTCAAAGTCACCTGGCCTCGTGAAATTTTTTCTGCACAAAGTCAAGAACCCACACGTTAGTGGCCGGGCTGAGGGAGACCCACACAGGGCCAGGCTCCCTTTCCAGTGACAATGGCACATGGACGCTTTCTGGTTCTCCAACATGGAAGCTCTCCCCAAAAAAGCCAAATGGTTGTCCTCTGGGTTTTTATATTTTTTAATTGATTTTTAGAGAGGAAGGGAGAGGGAGAGAGAAACATCGATGTGAGAGCTGAACATTGATTGGCTGCCTCCCATACATGACTGGGAATCAAACCAGCAATCTCTTGATGCACAAGAACCTGTCAACCAACTGAGCCACACCAGCCAGGGTGGGCCTCGTCTTTTGGGTGGAATTTGGGAAGGTGGGCTTCTCAGTCAGGGGACATATAACAGGGTGGGAGGAGTCCAGAAACTGGCCTTAGCTGTGTTTTGGTGGGATGCTTCTCTAACCAGAACTGAGCACATACAAAGAAAAGAAGTTGATTTCTTAAAACAGGTTGAACTGGGAGGATGGGGTCAGAATATGGAGGTGGGATTCTGGATTTAATATAGAAAACAGTAAATCCAGTGCGGGAGAGAAAGTGTGTGGGCTTTGGGGTCAGGCAGGTTCTGTCACTTATTAGCTAGAGAGTAGGCAATTAACCTGACCTCTCATCAAAATAATTATAATACCATTGACTTGCATGAGAATAAAGTGAGAGAAAGTACTCTGAACATGCAAACCCAAGATAGATATTCTATAAATGTCACACCTGAATGTAAGTTCCAGGAGAACAGAGATGGTGTGCTTTGTTTGCTGATGCACCCACCCCCATGCCAATAGTATCTGGCCCATATTAGGTACCCAAGAAAGAGGGAAAAGGCCTGTGGCATTTTCAGGTTAGTGCTGGGAGAGTAGAATGTGGAAAGGATGGCTTCTGAATTCTTGCACAGTCTAAAGGAACATCTGGGAAGAATTAGAGTAGGAACTGGCAAGCTATTACCTATGCCTATTTTTATAAATAAAGTTTTATTGACACACAACTGTGCTCATTTATTGACCATGGCTGTTTTTGCACTATAGTAGCAGAGTCGACTAGTTGCGATAGACAGTGTACCTGTCAAGCCTAACATATTTACTCTCTGGCTCTACAGAACAAATTTGCTGACCCCGGACAATTACCAAAGAATACTTCTATGTTTTTAGGGCTTCAGAAAATTAGTCATAAGAAAAATGAATTCTTAATAAAAATAGCTTCCTTTGATTTGTATCTTCCCACTTTACAAGGTAAAATACAAAGTTTAATTCGTATTCTTCAGAGAAGGAGCTGTGTATACATCACATTGCACTTTATGACACTGATTTCTGAGTACTGAGGGGACAACAAACAGTTCAGTGATAATAGGCAGGACACTCTGACCTTTTCAATATTTAAAATGTTTCTCCAAATGGCACACGTCATTTGTGTTAAAACCTTAGAGATCAGTTATTTAAAGACAAAGAGCATATTATCTTTCTATTCATGTTCCAAGCTATAAGTCCAAATGGATTGAAACCAGAATTAAAGGCACCTAAACACATTACATGTTTATATATATAAAAGCCTAAGCAAGCGAACGACTGGTCACTATGACACGCACTGACCATCAAGGGGCAGATGCTCAACACAGGAGCTGCCCCCTGGTGGTCAGTGCGCTCCCACAGCCAACCTCCTGCAGCCAGGTAACCTCCCACGGTCCCTTCCTCCAGCCAGCCAGCCCTGATCAGCCCCCATAGGGCCAGCTGGCCAACCCCCCCTGGTCCCTCCCCCCAGCCAGCCAGCCCCAATGACCCTGATTGAGCTGTCAAACCTCCTGCAGCCCCAGCTCTCCCCCCAGCCAGCCAACCTCTTGCAGCCCCTCCCCCACCGGCCAGCCAACCTCCCATGGCCCCTCCCTCCACCGGCAAACCTCCCATGGCCCTGATCGCCAGCTAGGCTGAGGGACCCCATCTGTGCATGATTTCGTGCACCGGGCTTCTAGTCCTATATAGGCCTATCTAATAATAGACAAACATGGTAATTAACCGTACCTCCGACATACTTCCCATTGGCTAATCAGGGCAATATGCAAATTAACTGCCAATCAAGATGGCGGCCGGCCGCCAGGCAGCTGAAGCAAACAGGAGGCTTACTTGCTCCAGTGAAGGAGGAAGCCAAGGTTCCCCACCTGCTGCTGCTGGGCTCTGAACTTGCACTCTAAGATAAACAATGTTGCAATTATAGAAGTTAAACAAACCCCATGCTTTCAGCCAGCTGGCTGAGCTGGAGTTGCAACAGTGTTTCAATTATAGAACCCAAACAAACCCAGATACCTGCTTTCAGCAGCCGAGGTCTCAGAGCTGGAGCCGAGCCTCAGAGCTAAAGCCAACTCTCAGTTCCAGTGACAGCCATAGATGGTAAATAAATCCCAGAATAAAAAAGAAAAAGCAAAAAGGAGATGTTGGGAGCTTCAGTTAACTGCCAGCCTGAAAACGGCCCTCAGCCCCTCACCCAGACTAACCAGGCAACCCAGTGGGGACCCCCACCCTGAAGGGTGTGTGACCAGCTGCAAACAGCCATCATCCCCTCATCCAGGCTGGCCAGGCACCCAAGCGGGACCCACACCCTGATCCAGAACACCCTTCAGGGCAAACCAGCCAGCCCCCACCCGTGCACCAGTCTTCTATCCTATATAGTAAAAGGGTAATATACCTCCCAGCACCGGGATCAGCGGAGCCGCGAGGCCTCCCGAACCCGGGATCAGCAGAGCCGCAAGGCCTCCTGGCACTGGGATCAGCGGAGCAGTGAGGCCTCACTGCCCCGGTGTCAAGCAGAGCCGCGAGGCCTCCTAGCACTGGGATCAGCGGAGCCGTGAGGCCTTCTGGCCCCTGGAGCAGCGGGACAGGGGGCAGCGCCCAAACCCCCTGATCGGCCCTGCTCTGTGCCTGATAGGGGGAGCTCCCCAACCCCCTGATCGGCCCTGCTCTGTGTGTGACACAGTGCGGAGCCCCAACCCCCGCATGGGTCCTGCTCTGTGTGTGACAGGGTAGAGCCGCAACCTCCCCATCGGCCCTGCCCTGAGTGTGACAAGGGAGAGTGCCCCAACCCCCTGATCGGCCCTGCTCTGTGGGTGACAGGGGGCGGTGCCCCAACCCCCTGTCCCGCCCTGCTCTGTGGGTGACAGGGGCCGGTGCCCCAACTCCCCTATTGGCCCTACTCTGTGCATGACAGGGGGGAGCTCCCCAACCCCATGATCGGCCCTGCTCTGTGCATGACAGGAGAAGCTCCCCAACTCCCTGATCAGCCCTGCTCTGTATGTGACGGGGTGGCGCCGCAACCTCCCCATTGACCCTGCCTTGAGTGTGACAGGGGACGGTGCCCCAACCCCCCAATCGGCCCTACCCTGAGCGTGACTGAGGGTGGCATCGCAACCTCCCAATCCTCCCTGCTCTGTGCATGACAGGGGGTGGCGCCCCAACTCCCCAATCGGCCCTGCTCTGAGCCCGACCAGGGGCTGCACCTAGGGATTGGTCCTGCCCTCTGCTACCCGGGAGCAGGCCTAAGCCCGCAGGTCGTTATCTTCCGAGGGGTCCCAGACTGCGAGAGGGCACAGGCCGGGCTGAGGGACCTCCCCTCCCCCCCGAGTGCACAAATTTTTGTGCACCGGGCCTCTAGCCCTATATAATAAAAGAGAAACATGTAAATTAGTTATCTCTCCACTACGCTCAAGCCACACCCCACCAGCCAATGAAGAGTGAGTATGCAAATTAACCAAACAAAGATGGTGGGTAATTTTCATACACAGAGCAGAGTGGGAGAGCTGGCAGCTTGGGGGGACGTGGCTCCCTCGGTCACCAGATGGAGAGCAGAGCAGGAGAGCTGGAGGCTTGGGGGGACATGGCTCCCTTGGTTGGGGAAAACCCAGAGCATGGGGAACACCAGGAATTCTGGGAATAATAGTTTTGGTGGCAGCCCCAGGACCAGAAGCGGAAGCCCAGAGCATGGGGGAGCACCAGGAATGCTGGGAATCGTAGTTCTCCCAAGACACTAGAGCAAAGTGAACCTGGAGCAAGTTACTGTTGTGCTGGGGGATGGAGGGAAAGCAAAGGTGAGAGACATAAGTAAAATCAGAGTGTCTAGGAAAAATTAAAGGGAAGATATCCTAAAACTTCCAGGAAATCTCCACCAATGGAGCAAAGAAAAAAAAAGCCTCTATTATTCTGTGAGCAACAAACCAAACTGGGTTGGGGGTCTCAGACAATTCGCTCATATGATTGCAAAGACAGACAGAAACTCCCAGATTGGAGAGGGCTCCCCTGAGGGCTCCCAGATTGGAGAGGGTGTAGGTCGGGCTAAGGGACCCCCCCGACTCCAACCCCTCCCACCCCCAGTGCATGAATCTTCATGCACTGGGCCCCTAGTTTTATTATAAAAGGTTTGTCTTATTCTGAGACAACTGTTTTATACTGGATTTGATTGTGTTCCCATTGCTTCCACAGCCTCAGATTTGATGGCATATTGGAGCTCAGATTTATAGGAACCAAGGTCACTGCATCTGAACAAGAGGATTTTATTAAAATAAACCCTTTAGACTAATCGTATTCAAGGGGGCAGGGGAAACTTTTTTTAGAGCTTTTTAATAACAGCTAATTTCTCTTAGATAACCAGAACTGTGCAATCTCTGCCTACAAGGCCAGGCCAATGTTCATAAGTTGAACACAGGAGTGTTTTCAGGGTCATCAGCTCTTAAAAATAGAGACGTGGCAATGGCTATGCCTGTGGTAAGGAGTTAAAGGAAAGTAAGATGTTCAACTGACAGCAAAGCCTATCATGACCACAAAAAAGGCATGAATGTCTCACCACATTGGCACACTTTTTGACCTGCAAGTCATAAGTTTCGGTTACCAAATGCCCAAACATTTAACCATCTTCAGCCTCTGGCAAGTTATTAACAAAACAATATTACTCAAATTTTATATATCAGATTAGGAAGAACTGAGCCTTAAACGGAACACCTATTTTTCCATTAATATGATCGCCTGTAAGTGGGAATGATGACTGCTGGACAATGGATAGTAACTTAACACGGAAGATGCTGACAGAATGAAGTTCTGCAAGTGTTTTGCCTAAACTAAGAATTGTTTACATTCTTCCTCAGAATGCCACGCAATAGTTCTTAAAGGCTGATTATTTTAAGTGAGAGTTAAAAGTCATGCGAAAAGTGGTAATTCATGTGTAGATGAATTTATATGACCAACTAAAGCCTATCCTAATATATATAAAGAGCTAGGTGCCGTCACGACCGAACAGGCGACTGGTCACCATGAAGGGCATGGAGCACCTCTCAGTCCCCCTCCTTCCCCTGGTCCCCGAGCTGCTCACCATGAGTGGGGGCTGGCAGCGGGGTGGGACTGGGGACTGTGGAGAGGCGGTGGCGGCTGCTTCGCAGGGTGGCCGTGAGCTTAGCGGAGCAGTCACCTGGACAGCAGCAAGTTTCGCGAAGCAGTGGTGGGCGGGGGAGTTTTGTGGAGCAGTCATGGAGCAGGGGAGTTTCGCAGAGCCGTTGCAGGTAGGGGGAGGGGGGAGTTTTGTGGAGCGTCCAGTGGCGAGCTTCGTCCAGTGGCGAGCTTCGCAGGGCGGCAGCAAGCTTTGCAGAGCAGTCGAGGGGCTGGGGGAGCCTCGCAAAGCAGTCGCAGTGTTCGTGGAGCGTCCTGGGTGGGGAGCTTCCCATAGCGTTGCAGGGTGGCAGAGGCTATACGGTGGCGGCCAGGCTAGGCCTAGGGACCCCAACTGCGCACGATTTCATGCGCGCTGGGCCTCTAGTAAATTATATAAATGAATAAAATATGAATTAGAAAAATCTGATAAAAACATGAATTATTCTTGGGTTTCAAAATCTTTAAAAACATTATAAAACTTTATTTAAAAATTCACAAAATACAACTTAAATCAGCCAGATATTTTGAGTAACCCTGCAACTTAAAAAAAAAAAATCAAGTATTACAAATGTTTGTTGACTTTTATTTATAGTAATTCCCTAGGATTTAGTTTCTCTATCTACCAAACCCTTTCACCATGTCCAATATGAACTATTTCTTTTAAAGTTCTCTCATTAAACCTTAAAGAATTTTAAATTGCTTTACCATAAGCTTCAATCTAGTGACACTTATTTATATAAAAAGAGAAATCTATTTAGACTACAAATAGATTAAAAAAACAACAGCAGCCTTATTTCTATTTTGGAAAAAAATGCAGCTTTTTAGTTAGCATGGAGGCAAAGCAGGGGACCTGCTTCTTTCCAATTGCACTTAGGTCTTTGCAAACGTCCACTCGGCGCAGAGAAACTTTCCTGTTCACCAGTGTGAGGAGTTCTGTGAACTCTAAGGAGGAGCCGAATTTTCTCAGCATCTCACACAAATCTTGAATGTACCATGAGCCATTCACAGTTTCCCGATGAGAATAATAACCTAAAAAAGAGAAGGAAACAGACACTGAAGTTTTCTGGCATTCAGTTACAGTGACTTACAACACCTTTATAATACCACAGAAGTATAAAGTCTCAAAAAACCTTGGAAAAGACAAAGATGTATCCATGATACCATTTTTTATATTTTTTCCTGTTGACTATTCTCATGTGGGAAAGGGATCAATTCTATATAGTTCTATAAAAATGGGGTTAATTCTACTTAATTCCCTAAAAGTTTTCAAGATACTAGTAGCCAGGTGATGATTGTAAGAGGCAAGAGATTAGAAAGAAGAAAATCATAAAATTACTGCAAACGAACAATCGTCACCAAATATTTTCAACAAAGCTTCCCATGAGTATGACCAAATGACACTATCACCATCAATAATTCCTAGCAGGAGAGAGAAACCAAGATGGCGGCATAGGTAAACACCGGAAATTGCTGTCTCGCACAACCACTTCAAAAATACGACTAAAAGATGAAAAGGACATCATCCAGAACCACAGGAAGGCTGGCTGAGTGGAAATTCTACAACTAGAAGGAAAGAGAAAAGCACACTGAGACTCAGAGGAGGTGCAGAAGTAAAGTGCAGAGGTACAGAGGCGCATGTGGAAAGGCCTGGCAACTGAGGACGCGGCTGTCTTTTTCAATCAGGAGGGAGACACAAGCTCCCGACATCTCTGAACTCCAGTTCAGGGCGAGTCTCTGGAGACCCAGACTCATATGGGGAGAAACTGGACTGTCTGGCATCGGTCGGAACTCAAGGGCGGCTTTCTCTCAGAGGTGCTTGCAGTGATTACTGGGACACTGAGACGCAGGGCCTCTTAGGGTAGGACTGAGGAGCAGCCATAGCTGTTTGCTCCGCCCTGTTTATCCCCTGAGACCCTGCCCCACCCAAGCTGTGCGCAGAGACTTTTGCATATGAAAGGCCTGGCACTTTGCAATCTGAAAATTACCTAACAAACTGCAGCTGGGTCAGAGAGACCCAGAACTTCCAAAAGAAGGCCCAAGGCCCCACAGCAGCTTGCATTGCTTCACAGCTGGGCCTCAACTGGGCACCTCCAAACCCCAAACAAAGAAGAGGAATCTGCAGATCTCGCCATAGCTCCTGCTGGGTATCCTCAGGAAGAGGCTAAATTAGCACCTCCTTAGAGATCCAAGAGCCAGTGTACACAGTGGTCAGAGTGGGACCATCCAGATTACAACTCCTCAGATCCATAAGGGACACACTCAGGGGGCAGACTCAGTGAGCACCAAAGCCCCACTGAAGCAAGTCTTGCCCCAGAAGGGGGTCTCCAGCACAGAAGTTCTCCCACTGCAGACACAGCTGATTCTCACAGCCAATTGGCCTGGAGGTCAATTCCTCCCAGTGATACCTACAACAATCAAGGCTTAACTACAACAAGACTGAGCATACAGCCCACAAAGGGGTGCACCAAGAGTGTCCCCCTCAGGTAATTGGGGAGGCTGAGCCACTGGGCCCTATAGGACACCTAGCACAGAAAGCCACTCTGTCAACACAGGGAAGCATAAAAAAAATACAGAGACAAAGAAACAAGTCACAAATGACAGAAATGGAGGAAAGCAAACTACTGGATATAGAGTTCAAAACCACGTTTATAAGGTTTTTCAAGAATTTTCTAGAAACCACCGATAAATTTAGTAAGACCCTCAGTAAGTCTAGTGAAACCGCCGATAAATTTAGTGAGACCCTCAAGAAATCTAATGAGATCCTCGAGGTTATGAAAAAGGACCAACTAGAAATTAAGCATACACTGACTGAAATAAAGGATATTATACAAAGTTTCAACAGCAGACAAGAGGATCCCAAGAATCAAGTCAAAGATTTGAAATACGAAGAAGCAAAAAACACCCAACCGGAAAAGCAAAAAGAAAAAAGAATCCAAAAATATGAAGATAGTGTAAGGAGCCTCTGGGACAACTTCAAGCGCACCAACATCAGAATTATAGGGGTGCCAGAAGATGAGAGAGAGCAAGATATTGAAAACCTATTTGAAGAAATAATGTCAGAAAACTTCCCCTACCTGGTGAAAGAAATAGACTTACAAGTCCAGGAAGCGCAGAGAACCGCAAACCAAAGGAATCCTAAGAGGACCACATCAAGACACATCATAATTAAAATGCCAAGAGCAAAAGACAAAGAGAGAATTTTAAAAGCAGCAGGAGAAAAACAATCAGTTACCTACAAGGGAGTACCCATATGGCTGTCAGCTGATTTCTCAACAGAAACTATGCAGGCCAGAAGGGAGTGGCAAGAAATATTCAAAGTGATGAATAGCAAGAACCTATAACCAAGATTACTTTATCCAGCAAAGCTATCATTCAGAATTGAAGGTCAGATAAAGAGCTTCACAGATAAGGAAAAGCTAAAGGAGTTCATCACCACCAAACCAGTATTATATGAAATGCTGAAAAGTATCTTTTAAGAAGAAGAAGAAAAAGGTAAAGATACAAATTATGAACAACAAATGCACATCTATCAACAAGTGAATCTAAAAATCAAGTGAATAAAAAATCTGATGAACAGAATAAACTGGTGAATATAATAGAACCAGGGGCATAGAAAGGGGGTGTACTGACTATTCTCAGGGGGGAAAAGGGTGTGGGGGGTGCGGGAAGAGACTGGACAAAAATTGTACACCTATGGATGAGAACAGTGGTGGAGGGGGGGGTGAGGGCAGAGGGTGGGATGGGAACCGGGTGGAGAGGAGCTATGGGGGGAAAAAAGAGGAACAACTGTAATAATCTGAACAATAAAGATTTAATTAAAAAAAAATTCCTAGCAGGCTGCTAATCCTACATAATAAAGAGGTAATATGCAAATTGACCATCATACCCTCGCACAAGATGGCCACCCCCATGTGGTCACAAGATGGCCACCACAAGATGGCCGGCAGGGGAAGGTAGTTGTGGGCAATTAGGCCAGCAGAACAGGGCAGTTAGGGGCAACCAGGCCAGCAGAGGAGGGCAGTTGGGGGTAACCAGGCCAGCAGGGGAGGGCAGTTGGGGGAGACTGGGCCTGCAGGGGAGCAGTTAGGCGTCGATCAGGCTGGCAGGGGAGTGGTTAGGGGATGATCAGGCTGGTAGGCAGAGGCGGTTAGGGGCAATCAGGCAGGCAGGCCGGCGAGCGGTTGGGAGCCAGCAGTCCCAGATTGTGAGAAGGATGTCCGACTGCCATCCTTCAGTCGGATATCCCCTGAGGGGTCCCAGACTGGAGAGGGTGCAGGCTGGGCGGAGGGACACCCCCCTCCTTCTGGCCTCTAGTATTCAATACAATTAGACTGGTAGCTTTAGACTTGGAGTTCTCAGGGATGACTTTTCTGTAAGGCATTTTTACATTTTCATCTATCACTCTGTGCTACTGGATCAAAGAAATCCATTCTGTGCCTGTGAGCTTCAGGACCAAACCACCGTGTACCAACCGAAAGACGTATTCCAAGTCAAGCCAAGATGAAGCTTACAGGAACTTAGCCAGGAGCGCCAAGTCTATGTTTGTATTAAACACCCACACACCTTCTGCAACAGAGTAGCACATGAGGAAGTCTGCTCCCGCAGGGAGGGTGTAAACAGAGGCCGCATCCACCTGGGTGACATTGGCATCCAGCTTGTCTGCCGGATGGTCCACAACATCCAAAGGAATGACTGGCACGTCATGCTGGTTTCCCCGACATGCCTACAAGACAAGGAGGAAAACCACCTCACTTACTTACCTACCCCTTCCTTCCCAATGCTGTTTACAGTGCATATATAATTCAGTACACCTTCATGTTGACACCAACAGAAGCCACTTTACAGGCACTTCAAACCATAGCATTCAGGTTTAGAGCAGACTAAAGTGGAGTTTTTCCCCCCTACTTATGTTTTCTTTTAGTTAACGTTTTAAAAAATATTGGCATCTTCAACTATACAGTAAATTCTGTTGATTGAAAGAAAGGTACACTCTAGAGGAGAAAGTGTCTGTGATTTAAAAAATTCCTCATACCATAGCACCAAGAGTCATCCTTTCTTTTAAAAGCTATTGTATTTGCCCTAGCTGGTTTGGCTCAGTGGACAGAGCATCCGTCTGCGGACTGAAGGGTCCCAGGTTCGATTCTGGTCAAGGGCACATGCCCGGGTTGTGGGCTCGATCCCCAGTAGGGGGCATGCAGGAGGCAGCCAATCAATGGTTCCCTCTCATCATTGATATTTCTATCTCTCTCTCCCTCTTCCTTCCTCTCTGAAATAAATAAAAATATATTTTTTAAAAAGAAAAAGCTATAGTATTTGCCTAAATAATATGTTCCCAGATTGGGTTTTGCTTGCCTACTGACTGCCATAAACTGTTAAGGGTTAAAATGACAATATTTCACCTGAGAAGTGTGCCTTCTTCCTTTTGCTCCTACTTGAAAGTGAGGTCTCAAATTCTTAGCCACTAATTCTGACTCACACAAAGGCTAACACTAGTTTCTATTCATAAATGACTATTATGAACTCAATTTTGTCCCTCCCCTTCTAAAATGTATATGATGAAGTCCTAACCGCCAGTACCTCAGATGTGATTGTAGTTGGAAATTTGGTCTTTAAAGATGTTATTAAGGTAAAATGAGGTCATATGGGTGGCTCCTAATCCACCATGACTGCTGTCCTTATAACAAGAGATTAGGACACACACACACACACACACACACACACACACACACACACAGGAGAGACCATGAGAGGACAGAGGGATGGGACAGTCATCCACAAGCCAAGGAGAGAGGCCTGTGGAGAAAGCAACCCCGGTAACCCCTTGATCTCAGACTCCTCCACAGCCTGTCAGAAAGTAAATTTCTATTGTGTAAGCCACCCAGTCTGTGGACTTTGTTCTGGCTGCCCTAGTCTGCTTAACACAGTGACCTGACAGATGGTTTATATTATAAATGCACCATCAACTATGAAATGGTTAAAGAATGAAAAGCTTTAAAAGGAACAGAAAGTCCTTTAAAAGGAACAGAAAGTCTTGAGTAATTTCGAAGTTTTCAGATATTAAAATCTGGAGATTTTAACCTTATTTAGAATTATCACACTTATATTCAGACTTTATTTCCTATTGTCTTCCTAGATATAATGTAGAACACCAGGAACTTGATCCCATCAGTTGCCAAATCAATTGCAGTAAGAGCTAGCCTTTATTTTTAAGAGATTAGTTATGTATTTATTTTAACTTATTGATTTTAGATAGAGAGAGGAAGGGAGAGGAAGGAAGGAAGGGAGACATTGATTTGTGGTTCCACTTATTGATGCATTCACTGGTTGATTCTTGTGTGTGCCCTGACAGGGAATCGAACCTGCAACCTTAGCGTATAGGGACGATGCTCGAACCAGAGCTAGCCTTTAATTGAGGGCTTGTCTTGTGCTAGGCCAGCCGTGGGCAAACTACGGCCCGCGGGCCGGATCCGGCCCGTTTGAAATGAATAAAACTAAAAAAAAAAGACCGTACCCTTTTATGTAATGATGTTTACTTTGAATTTATATTAGTTCACACAAACACTCCATCCATGCTTTTGTTCCGGCCCTCCGGTCCAGTTTAAGAACCCATTGTGGCCCTCGAGTCAAAAAGTTTGCCCACCCCTGTGCTAGGCACTAAGTGTTTTTCATTTGCTAGGCCAGTTCGTTTTAATCTCACAACCACCCCATGAGGAGTTGTTATTTTATCTCTATCTCATAGACGAAGAATCTGAGGCAGTGAAATGTTTTCCTCCTTTGTGGCTATCCTCCCATAGGAGAGCTCATTAGTACTTTCCAATCCTCTTTTCTTGGACAGTGTTGGCCCTCCCTTTTACATGAAGCAATAGCTGTCATTTTTCTACCTCTCTGGGCCATTCTCCTCAGCATCTCTCCTCTGCTCATTTTTCAGGCTATACTTGCCATGGGCAAACTCATTTGCTTCCATTACCATCCATCTCCTCATTACTCCAAAATTTATTTCTCCAACCCTGGCTGCCTCTTAGGTTCTAGACCTGTCCTTGCAACTGCATGTCCCACAGACACCGCAACACAGTTGTCCAAACAAGAAACCAAGGAATTATCTGTAACTTCTTTTCTTATAGACCCCTACTCCCTCCCCTCTATGTTCTATGGCAAGATGAAGAATGTGGTCATGGTGCTCCATGCCATTCAGAAATACAGAACTGCAGCACTGGGACATCAGGAATTCTCTTTTTTGTTCAGAATTCTTATTGATGTATCGGATGATGTTATTCAGGCCTAAAAATATTTTTATCCTAATACCAATTGGCAGGGGTTACACAGCATGTCGGTGTAAGGGAGAATGTGAAAGGATGAAGCAAGCTAGGTCTAGAACTCTTCATGCCTGCACCCCTCCCACTGGCTCAGCTCACACGCGCTCCAGCTCCCAGGGGACCAGCCCGTCTGAGCAGGCGCCTTGTTCCTCACTCCCCCAGCAGCAGGTACTTTCTCTGGTGGCTCCACCTGGATACCAGGCTGGCCATGAAGTAGCACATTGGTTATTCCGAGTCATTTCAAATGTCAATCCAAGTAATAAAGACGCCGAGAGTCTTTATTTTTTATGTTAAGAAAGAATTACTACCAATAATTCAAATTGTAACTCTGGCTAGAATTCACAAAGGGCCTTTCCAGTACTGGAGAAAGTTACTTTTGAAGTTGGCTTTAGTTCTTAATAATCACAGGTACAGGCCCTGGGCTTTATAATTAAGATGGTAACATCATCAGTCTTACCTGAATGATAAATATCTTGGGTTTTCCAACCAGGCTCTTACACTTGTCTCCTTTGAACAAGCCAGTCAGTGTTTGAATTTCAATTTTGGCATCATATGCGTAAATGTGATTGCCTTCGCCATGACTCAGGAAAACGCATAAAAAGCAATCGGCATCTACATGGCTAGAGGTTGATGCTAGAAAAAACCCCCAAAATTCAGACAGAAATGAAAACCAGATGCTTATTATCTATGCATTAAAATTCAATGTACTAATACTAGAATAAGTTACATACAATGATTGCAGGAGGGAGGAAACCTGTTATTCTTAGAATAAATGTAAAATGTCTATAATGAAACATAACTTTATTTATTTATTTATTTTTTAATCTTCACTTGAGGGTAATTTTTCCATTGCTTTTTAGAGAAAGTGGAAGGGAGAGGGAGAGACAGAGAGAAACACCGATGTGAGAGAGACACATCGATTGGTTGCCTCTGGCATGCCCCCAACCAGGGCCAGGAGCCTGCAACCAAGGTATGTGCCCTTGACTGGAATTGAACCCCTGACCCTTCAGTCTGCAGGCAGACACTCTATCCACTGAGCCAAACTGGCTAGAGTCACAAATTATTTTAAAAATCAAAATTATTCAAGTTCAAAATAGTAGTTTGAACAGATTTTATTAGTTTTTCTAAAACACAGAAAATGACATAAAACAAAGGGGGATATTATGGGGAACTCCCTTCAAGATCCAAGTCATTTTGGCAATAAAAGTTACATGAATCAGCAGAGTGCCTAGGTACACACACACACACAAACACACACATTTAATATAAATATATAAAATAGATTATTATTCAGTCATTAAAAAAGAATGAAATCTTACCATGCAGCAACATGGATGGACATATTATGCTAAGTGAAATAAGTCAGAGGAAGACAAATACCATATAACCTCATTTATATTTGGAATCTAAAAGATGGTAACTAGACATTTCGAAATGTACACATATATCGAATCATTCTGTTGTACACCTGAAACTAACATAATGTTATATATCAATTATACCTAAAGAAAGAGTTCTGGCCGAAGCTGGTTTGGCTCAGTGGATAGAGCGTCGGCCTGCGGACTGAGGGGTCCCGGGTTCGGTTCCGGTCAGGGGCATGTGCCTGGGTTGTGGGCACATCCCCGGTGGGAGGTGTGCAGGAGGCAGCTGATCGATGTTTCTCTCTCATCGATGTCTCTAACTCTCTATCTCTCTCCCTTCCTCTCTGTAAAAAATCAATAAAATATATATTTAAAAAAAAAAAAAAAAAAAAAAAAAAAAAAAAAAAAAAAAAAAAAAGAAAGAGTTCTGCAGAAAGTTTAAATTATATAAATATTATAATATTCCATTGGCAAATGACTTGAAAATTCATGGCATGCAGTGATTATTATGATAAAGATAAATTGTTAAAATACCTACTACACATTGATATAGAAATTAAGAGATAAAGTATTTAAATCACCAGTATTTTGAAGCCAGTAAAAGAGTATGGAAGGAGTCAATTAAAAAATCACTAGTGTTTGCATTTTAAACTTTTAAATGCCAAATGAGAAGGCCATTTTATCCGTTTCTAGAATAACAGACTGTAACTAACGGTATGCTGAATATAAGCTCTGGAGGAATAAAACTGTGCCAGGGTCTCTAAATCTGGTGGGTAACACATATGCAGAGATGCAGAACCGAAAACCTATAACCCATGCCACATTAATCAGTAAGACTTTTCACTACGCAGTTAATTATTTGGATCTGTCTTTACAAACAGGGCATTTAAAGCACTCAGTGCCATCAGAGGGAGGTGAACAGGAAAACCACTTACCCTCGTGAATTTTGAGCAGTAGCTCTTCTGCTTTCAGATCGTTAAAGCATTTCACTTCAAATCCGAGGTCTAAAAACCTGGCGGCAGAGTAAACTGAGTATTAGCTTATGAGCTACTCAAGGCTGTCACATACCCTGCTTATTTGAGGAAATTTATATACTTCTTATGACACAAAAGTTGTCTTTTCTTCAAGGGAAAAGAAAACTCAAATAGGACTGTGACGGTTTTCCTGGGTCACCCACGATAGGAGAGGATTTACTAGTAATGATAACGGATTCAAGTTAGAATATCGTGTCTACTCTTACTCTGCAAATACAGGTGACCCTTGAACAACAAGGGTTTGAACCGCAAGTGTCCACTTACACAGATTGTTTTTGTTTTTTCAGTAAGTACCTGTACTGTTTTCGAGCCTCAGTTGGGAGTTTGCAGATGCAGAGGGCCCGCTGTATGCATTATCTATGCCTCCTACAGAAGGGACTTGAGCATCTGTAAATGTTGGTACTCACAGGGGGCCTAGATCCACTCCCCTGTGGATACTGAGGGAGGGACAACTTAGTTTTGGAGGAGTCAAAAGTTAGGTGTGGGTTTTTGACTGTGCGGGGGCTCAGCAGCCCTAACCCCTGAGCTTTAGGGTCAACTGTGTATCTGTAACAATGCAGAGCCTGTTAACACTGAACAGAACACGGCTAGGAAGAAAACTCTGGCAAGTTCTTAAGGGGGGCTGTGCCCAACTGAGGCTCATCCTCAAAAGCTCTTGCTCTGTTACTTCTTCAGTGCGGACGAGTTTCCACCAGTAGTTACCACCTAAATACCTCACCACCTTGACAGGTGGGTGAAACTACTACCTGCGCGTAAGATTGTCTCTGTCTGCATTGGTGCCTCGCCTTTCCGGCAGCGTTAGGTGCCAGAAGAACCTCTCATGGTTGAAGATTAAAGCGAGTCCTCTCCTCTTGTGGTCCATTTTGTACTTTTCTGCTGGATCCAACATTTCACTGTTGATGAAAAATTAAAAAAAAACAATGAGCTCCTCCGAGCCCAAGGTCCACGTGTAGCGTAGACAGAGGTCTGCGGTTTCCTCCTCCGCAGGCTGACCTGTGTGTGCACTGAAGGCCTCAGGGCCACGCCAGCAAGGACAGCCCTGAAATATTTCCGTACAATTGGTAAACAGCGGCCACTGTGAGCACCCCCCCACCATCCATCTACATGGGTGTCTCACCCCGGGTCTCCAGGATCCAGCAACTGAGGCCTGGCCGAGGCCCACTCTAGCTATAGGGCCCAGGCCATACCAACTCTTTAATATTTTGAACATCACGCTAAGTCCTTTCACAACCAGGGGCAGGCACTAACCTGTATATTAACTAGAAGTTAACTTTCCAAATGTGAAACCTGCCATTGTCCTACCTTCCAGTTCCCAGGCCCCTTCCCCGCTTTGATTTTTCTAGTCTGATCATGACCACCATAGGAAGAGGCCTTTATTAGAAAAGACAATATTCTTACCTCCTGTAGAAGGCATCTGTTTCTGTCATGTTTTGTTCCTCACCTATTAAAACGAAAGTTGATTTTTGTTAATGTACTTTGACTTCTGGTAGTGAAACAGCAGGAAACCCCATGTGGATGCCCTTGACCCCCACACGCTAAGGGTAAATGAAAAGAAGGAAGGGAAACTGCTGCATAATAAGCAAATGAACTATAAATCGATGGCTTAATTCTTTCTCACCCCCAATTCTTACCCGCAAAATAGCAAAGAATATCATACAGAGAAGCGGAGAAAATATTATGCAAATGCATTCACTGTAAAATATGCCTAGGTTTAACAGTCTTTTGATTATGGAACTCGAAAGAAGCAGGAAATTGCTTTGACTGTATCTGTTTTTGTTGTTAATTCTCACTGGGGGATATTTTCCCATTGATTTTTAGGGAGAGTGGAAGAGAGAGGGGAAGACAGAGAGAAACATCAATGTTTGATTGGTTGCCCTGGCCTGCAACCAAGGTAGGTGCCCTTGACCGGAATTGAACCCGGGAACCTTTGGTCTTCAGGCTGATGCTCTCTATCCACTGAGCCAAACTGCCTAGGGCCCCCGACTATATCTTTTTTTTTATTGATTGATTTTAGAGAGAGAAGGGAGGGAGTGGGGGGGAGAGGGAGAAAGGGAAACAGGAAGAGGGGGAGGGAGGGGGAGGAGGAGGGGGAAAAAGGGAAAGAGGAAGAAAGAGAGAGAGAGAGAGAGAGAGAGAGGAATGGTTTGTTGTTCCACTTATGTATGCATTAATTGGTTGATTCTTGCATGTGCCCTGACCGGGGATCAAACCCACAACCTTAGCGTATTGGGACGTCGCTCTAACCGACTGAATACCCGGCCGGGGCCTGAAGTTGCTTTGTTTTACAGAAAGTGTTTTTGTAAATGTTCTTCCAGTTCTATCACTGATGCAAGCACTTCTTTAACTTTTCCTTGTGAGAAAACAAAAGCAGATCCAACCTCCAAAAGCCAACTTTTCCTGCCCAGGCGCCGGGGGACGCCGGAACCGCCGGGCCAGCCCTTTACGTGCAAGTGACCCGACGCCCCGAGGACAACGAGGCGGAGCCCGCCCGGCGCTGGGAGCCAGGAGGCGCCGGCGAGCTCCCCGCGAGGTTTTCCAGGACCCAAAGCTACGCTGCCCCCACCGGACCTGCGCGCTTCCCTCCAGGACCCGCATCTTCCTCGGGCCGCCCAGCAAAGCCCGGGGAGCCCGCGCCCTAGGCAACCCCTACCTGCAGGGCCAGCCTCCCGGGGCCCGGGCACCGAGCTCATCGGGGCGAGCGCAGCGTCCATAACCCGTTGGTCTCCGCTTCCTAGAGCCCGTCTGCAGCACCGCCCCTTCCTCCACCGTCTCCGCCCCGGCCTAAAGCCTGGGGGGATAAGGTTTCTCCCTTCCCAGCAGAGCTGGAGGGTGGAGTGGGGTGGGGTGGGGTGGGGTGCACAGAGCCTCGTGGCGGGGCGGGGACACGCAGGTTAGCCGCCTGGCGCCTGGAGGGACTAACCTGCCTCTGGGAAATGTCAACAGGCGACATCAGATCACCCGCGCGCGGTCAATCCAGCCCCAATGTTTGCTCTCCCTGACTCGCGTAAAGGGTAAGAATGTTGTGAGTCTTCCCTTTTCGGGTGTGAACCCCGAGGACTAGTAAGGGCTCCTGATGGCTAAGCAGGGGGCTGGGGGAGCAGAGCCTAGCAGCCATTTCTGCAAGAGGCCCCTCACGCAATCTGCACGTCGTGAGAAGCCTCTGAGGCCCCGCACTGAACTGCCGCCTGCATCGCCTCTGGCCTCCGAGCCAGCCCTTATAAAGGAGACCCTGGGGTCCTATTTAAACCAGCAGGACTGAGCTTCCTCATCCAATCGGAGCTGCGCGCAGCCCTGACCAATCAGAGGCCCGGGTGGGGAAGGCTGTACGTCCGCCGGGTCCCGCTGGTTCCCTTGGGGAGCGCACTTTTCATCAGAGACAGAAGGTGCGTTTCCTCCGGAGGCCCTGCGGTGGCGCTGCCACCTCGGAGCTGCCTTCACAGCCATCCCAACGGTTCACTGGTTCTCAACCTTCCTAATGCCGCGACCCTTTAATACAGTACCTCATGTTGTGGTGACCCCCAATTTCATTGTTACAAATTGAACATAATTAAAGCCTAGTGATTAACCACAAAACAATATGTAATTATATATGTGTTTTCCGATGGTCTTAGGCGACTCCTGTGAAAGGGTCATTCGACCCCCCAAAGGGGTAGCGACCCACAGGTTGAGAATCGCTGGTAGCTGTTTGCCAAGGTGAGGATTCCTGCTGGCGATCGACTTGGTGCTGACCATGGGATGGCAACAGGTAGTTCTTTTCCCAGTGAGTTGCTTATAGGATTTGTAATAATTTATCTTAAACGCTCTGTTTGTGTAGTAACTAGAGGCAACTGCAGGATTTCTAAGTCTGGCTTTCGTAGGTAGAGCTTGTGAAAAGCTGACATAAGTGGAGTCATTTTAAAACAGAGCCAGAGCAGCCATTCCAGATGAGCTGCTTGCACATCCTGCTCCTAGAACCTTTGCAATGTTTGAACTGGGCAGAGTAACCTTTGGAGTGGGCCAAGCAACACTCTTACAAACAACTGGAAAGCTAACAGGAAACCAGATATTCTGCCCATGAGGACTGAGGCTTATGGACATTCTTTAAAATTCTTTTTTTCCCTTATTTTTATTTTTCTTTAAAATTCTTAAAGTGAGTTATACTTTTTGCTGGTGGAGTGTCTTGCTTTGATGTTGATGAAGACAACGAATCACAATAAAGTGGATGCAATGAAATGAAGTATGCTTGTATGTGTAGATAAAGAGTAACACAGCTTGATAACACCAATAGAAAGTCCTTCCTTCTATTTATATAGTTATTTCTCTTCCTTTTGTCATAAAAAAAGCTATTGCCTTCACCCTGAATTTGGAACACAATTTGGGTTTTTGCCAGAATTCTACGATTGTAATTCTGTGGTCTCGAATAAATACTTGTTGCCTCTCACTTTGACTTATTATTTTTAAGTTAACAAGCTGTTGATTGAGAATCCGAATCCACTACTTACTGTCACTAAAAGAACTTATTTGGGAAAAATAAAGAATTGCAACCGCCCTGAACGGTTTGGCTCAGTGGATAGAGCGTCGGTCTGCGGACTCAAGGGTCCCAGGTTAGATTCCAGTCAAGGGCATGTACCTTGGTTGTGGGCACATCCCCAGTAGGGAGTGTGCAGGAGGCAGCTGATCGATGTTTCTCTCTCATCAATGTTTCTCTCTATCCCTCTCCTTTCCTCTCTGTAAAAAATCTATAAAAAATATATTTAAAAAAAAAAAAGAATTGCAACTGATGCATGCAGGCAATGGTGAGCCACATGCACACACTGGACTGGACCAAGATGGAGAAGGAGCTTAAGGGACGAGGACGTTAAGGGGAGGCGCGGTTACATCCATAGAGCTCTGTAGAACAGGGTTCTGGAGGTGACACGGAGTACACAACTCCTCCTATAAAGCCCTAGCTCCTCCCTCCTGATTGACTGTGTCCAGGTTAAGTCTCGGTCATAATTTTTATCAAAGCTAATTTGGGGAAGGAATCATATAAAAACTGGGAGCCTGGACTTTGCGGGGGAGGAGGGAAGTCCATAAATTATGGTTTTTCTTGAGTCAAAGCATGTTGTCCTCACTCATAAAATGACGCCCAGAGTGCAGATCAGTGTGATGGGGCGCTCAGTGTTGCCTTTAACTGAGCTCTTCCTTGGGTGGTTGGCTATTGTGTAAATTTGCTTCAATTAACTCTAAGAGTGGATGAAAAGGTGGCCTTATCTTTTGTACCTTCTCCTGGTGGTGTATTTCTCTGACTTTCCAAGTAGTTTGCCTTAACAACTGTGGCCACAGGCTACCCAAAAGATACAGATGGCTTGGCATTCTGGGCTCAGGCAAGTCAACAGCCAGTGGTACTCGGAGAGCATAGAGGACACAGCCGAACTTTCCAAGGGGTTGAGGAGCCGTCAACACTCCCGTTTTCAGAGGCAGTGGAGGTTGTGGGATTTGCTCTTAAACATCTGTTAATAATTTTTCATGTAAATGAGAGATCTATAAAAGATGGTTCTTTGTAAGTTGCTTTCCATCCCTTTTGATCTCACAGTTAGACTTTAGAAAAAAAACACACCCAACAATATCAAGAACAATTTTTATTAAGACCACGATTAGTGAAAGGTTACTGTCTTTTCAAAATATCCCAAAATCTACTGTGAGGAGCAAGCTAGGGAATAAACATCAAAGCATAACAGCATACAATGCTCTGACGTGTAAACAACTTCTCATTTATTTTATTAAATTCATCTTTTCTCCAATTATAACAAAATATGACATCTGTCATATGAATGGTTCATAATATGGGAGTGGCCGTGCTTCTGAATTCTGTTCACGTCACCTTCTAGGCACATTACATAATACCTACATATTCTGGTTTTGCTCCTTAAGAGGTCACCAGCTAATGGTTCCAATTTTATGAGAAACAGACATGGAAATTTTGACTTTGTAATTAGTCTTGTCATTAATAGAAGTGTGACTTAGTCATATGCTCAATGGGCTACAGAAAAACAGCATGTTTTCCATTAATTAAAAATAGAGAAAAAAATAGTCAGATCCTTCCAGGCATAAATGTATTTAAATTTTTATGGTAAACAAAAATACACTTCTGAGTGAAGGTCTCTCCTTATTTCCAAATAAGATAATGTTGAACATACCTTATAATGAATTTTACATTTGACTTCATTTTGGGGAGTAAATGCGGTTGTGAAAATGAAGTTACAGAACTTTCTTTAAAAAAACAACTCACCCCTTAACACGCACCTCTCCCCGACACTGGTCAGGACAGCCTGGCGCGCTACAGCAGTGCCATCCAGGAACACAGCCTCCCCTTTCCTCTTTAGTTTGAAGCTTTACTGTCAAAACAAGGTCTTACAATAGCCCTTTCACAAAAATAAGGCACCTTTGTGCTGTAAAAACATCAGTTCTTTGCCAAAGGTTGTTATGTGCTTTCATCCGCATCTGCTGTCACCTGCAGCATCTTCTTTAAAGGTCAGTTTTTTCTTCGTAGCGACACCAACACGCGGCTCGTTGGCTGTCCAGGTATGGTTTACAGCCCAAGTGGATCACACTGTCAAACAAGAGCTCCACTGTCGTTTCACATGCTGCAAGGTAAGGAAGCGCCATTACTGGGGGGCAATCGCAAAGGATCGCTCTCTCTTCACCCACATCACAGGTTCCCGCACAGTGTCAAGCACGGCCTTTGTGGGCACTTCAACGTGTGCTCTGTGAAAGTCCCCCCAAACCCCCGGAAACCAGTGACATGTATCTTTATATACAAAGGCTGTTTCAGCCTCGTTACCATGTACCAACTTTGTGTTTGCATGCAAATAGTCAATTTTCTGTGCTAGACAAATGAGTCTCTCGCAATAGCACTGAATGATCAGTTCAACACTTTTAATTTTCCTTATTTATTTATTATCTTACGTATTTTTGTTAAACCTGAGGATATTTTTTCCATTGATTTTTAGAGAGAGTGGAAGGGAGAGGGAGAGACACAGAGAGAGAAACATCAATGTGAGAGAGACACATCAATTGACTGCCTCCCGCACGTGCCCTGCAACCGAGTTATGTGACCTTGACTGGAATTGAACTCAAGACCCTTCAGTCCGCGGGCTGACTCTCTAACCACTGAGCAACCAGCTAGGGCTATTATTATTCTGTATCCTCACCTGAAGATATGTTTATTGATTTTTAAAGAGAGAGGGAGAAACAATCGATGTGAGAGAGAAACATTGATTGGTTGCCTCTCGAATGAGTCCCCACCGGAGATCAAAAACAAAACCTCGGTATGTGCCCTGACCAGGAATTAAACACTCAACCTTTGGGTGTACACAGGATGAAGCTCCAACCAACTGAGCCACCTAGCCAGGGCTCATTTTCCTTTCATCAGAAAAATATCACTGTTTGAGATGCCTGATAATATTCTTAAGTTTGCATTTCAAGGAAAGCTTTTTAGGTTCAGAAAAAATAAAGGTTAAAAACAGAGAAATCTCAAAACATTTCCTTCTAGCCAGTGGCAGCTAAAAACTGGTCACACATCATTTAAGATGCTTAAAATAAATGGACCCAAGTTTCTTTCTTTGACCAATATTCAAATTTAGCTTGGGAGGGGAGACCTAGGAATCAAAGGTGTTTGTCCTCTGGTAGGGTTAGAAACATTTTTTTAAGACTATAAAAATGATAACGGGCCCTAACCGGTTTGGCTCACTGGATAGAGCGTCGGCCTGGGGACTGAAGGGTCCCAGGTTCGATTCTGGTCAAGGGCATGTACCTTGGTTGTGGGTACATCCCCAGTAGGGGGTGTGCAGGAGGCAGTTGATTGATGTTTCTCTCTCATCGATGTTTCTATCTCTCTATTCCTCTCCTTTCCTCTCTGTAAAAAATCAATAAAAATATATTTAAAAAAAATGATAACGGATTTACTTTGGAACACCCAGGTGAGATTATCCTAATATATTATACTTATAACACAGAGTGGCTTTTAGTTGTTCAAATTCTTCCAGTTTCAAATATTCACGTTAAGAAATTTTTCATTACAAAATCTTGACATGATCAAAGTTCCGCCAAAGACTGTGCCATTAAGAAACACAACCAAGCACAGAAGTATAAAGGTTATGATTATTAAATAAAAGATAGCAAGAAATTTGGTTTCATCATTTAGCTACGTTAGTATGGCCTCAGGTCAGGACACAGGAACTACATCCAGCTATGCTTCAGCTGTACAAGTTTACCTCAGCCGAAAGCATGTAAGGGATTCAGAGTGTTCACT